CCAGTTCCTGCAACCGTTCTTCCTATGTTTTAGCCTCCAGCCCCCTAATCCTCTTTGTTGCTCTTCTCTGCACTCTTTCCTGGTTCAAATGTCTCTCTTCCTTGCTCATGAGTAGAACTTCCAAACCATGGAGAAGAACCCTCTGAAAGTAGAACCAAATAAACTGGGCGAGTTTAAAGTTGGGAAGCCGCCAACTCTGAAAATGAATCGATTAATCAAATCAGAGAGGAGTGATAGCAATGCAGCTGGTAGGATAGCTTGACTCTGGAAAAGAGCAATAATTTCAGGTCCTTTGGTGAGGTCAGAACTGCCACCTCCCTGCCAGTCTGGGGGAAAATGAAAGCGAACGGTGAGGACCCTTCTCTGGGACAACCGATGAAGTCTTCAAGGTCATTTTCCTGTGAGAAGAACGCCAACACGTAGCGTGACTGTTTCCAGAACATCTGTTTGAAAAGTTGATTGGAGAATAAACAATGGAAAGGGACCAAGGGAGGAAAGTGAACAGGCCAAAGTCCGGTGTGAATTCTCAGTTCTGACTTTAAAGCTAAAGGTTCCCCTCAGACATATGTGCTAGTCGTTCCCGACTCTAGGGGGCGGTGCTCATCTCCATTGCAAAGCTGAAGAGCCAGCGCTGACTGAAGACGTCTCCGTGGTCATTTGGCCGGCATGACTCAATGCCAAAGATGCACGAAACGCTGTTACCTTCCCACCAAAGGTGGTCCCTATTTTTCTACTTGCATTTTTTTTTTTTTACGTGCTTTCGAACTGCTAGGTTGGCAGAAGTCGGGACAAGTAACGGGAGCTCACCCCATTAGGCGGCACTGGGGATTCCAACCGCTGAACTGCCGACCTTTCGATCGACAAGCTCAGCGTCTTAGCCACTGAGCCACCGCGTCCCTGGTTCCGACTTTACACTACTGTAATTCACTTGACTTCTAGTAAACAATACCTTTCTTGACCAATGGAGATAAGGATCCTTAGAAGCCCAAGTTGAGACAGGTCTGTTAATTTTCAACGGTTATGAACCTGGGAACCTTGCTCTATTTCCCATCCGCCCACCTTCTCATCAATAAACCAGATTTTAAATTTCCACCTACGTGCAATCTTATTTTATTCTTTTCGGCCATGATGCAATCTCCTGAAAGTTTGGCTCGCCCCGAGGACTCATCAGCATTCAGGAATGATGCATCGGCTCTTCCCAAAATCTTTTTTAACTCCTGGAGTTGCGACGGAATTGAGCTTGGCGAACTCCCATTATGTTCCCCGCCACGAAAGGCACTTGGGAAAAAAATGATATTGTTCCCAGCAAGGCAAGCTTGCTTTTTAAAGGAGAAAAAAAAAAATCCTTAGTTTCTAACTCCAGCTAGGAACAATAATACACAGCAATAATGGATTTACCCCTCAGGTTCTTCTGGAGCTGTCACGATAATAACAACTCATTTTTAAAGCTTCAACCAAGCTGTGCTGAATTCCAGGGGAGGAAATCCAATGAGCGGGAAAGTTTCTTCTAGGTTTCTCCTGCTCTGTTTTTCATCTGCTTTTTGCTTTTTCTGAGGTGGGAAGACTTGAAAGGGAGACCATCCGAACTGTTTCACCCCAATCTTCTCTTGTGCTCTACCGAATAAAAAGTCATGATGAGAAGGTCAAGAGATAGCTTGCATCACGCCAAACAAAAAAAAGCTAAAAATACAACTGAGAATCTCCCGGTTCTTGGCTAACGTGGAGGATGAAAGAGAAAATGGTTGAAAGCAAACAAGCATTCTCCAAGATGTTTCTTCTGTTGAGAGATGAGGCTACTGGAGTTAATTCACATTCATAAACACGAGCCAAGAGTGTGCAGCGGCAGCCCAAAAAGCCAACGCAATCCTAAATTGCATTAACAGAGGGATTCAATCAAGATCATGTGAGGTACTAATACCACTCTATAAAGCCTTAGTAAGACCACACCTAGAGTACGGCATCCAGTTTTGGTCACCACACTATAAAAAAAGATGTTGAGACTCTAGAAAGAGTGCAGAGAAGAGCAAGAAAGATGATTAGGGGACTGGAGGATAAAACATACAAAGAACGGTTGCAGGAACTGGGCCTGGTTAGTCTAGTGAAGGGAAGGACCAGGGAGACAGGATAGCATCTTCTAATATTTGAAGGGCTGTCACAGAGAGGAGGAAGGGGGTCAAACTATTCTCCAAAGCACCTTTGAAGGTCAGACAAGGAACAATGGATGGAAACTGATCAAGGAGAGATTCAACCTGGAAATAAGGAGAGATTTTCTGACAGTAAGAACAATCAACCAATGGAAGAGAAGTTGCCTTCAGAGGTTGTGGGAGCTTCATCACTGGAGGCTTTCAAGAAGAGACTAGACTGCCTTCTGTCAGAAATGGTGTAGGGTCTCCTGCTTGGCTTGGGGGTTGGACTAGATGACCTACAAGGTCCCTTCCAACTCTGTTAATCTGTTAATCTGTAGTTTCATGAAGAGAAGGACCAGGGGAGACATGATAGTAGTATTCCAATATTTGAGGGGCTGCCACAGAGACGAGGGGGTCAAGTTATTTTCCAAAGCACCTGAAGGCCAGGCAAGGAATAATAATGGATGGAAACTGACCAAGGAGAGATTCAACCTAGAAGTAAGGAGAAATTATTTCTGACAGTGAGAACAATCCACAGGTGGAACAGAAGTTGCCTTCAGAAGTTGTGGGAGCTTCATCACTGGAGACTTTCAAGAAAAGACTGGACTGCCATCTGTCAGAAACGGTGTAGGGTCTTCTGCTTGGACTAGATGACCTCTAAGGTCCCTTCCAACTCTGTTATTATTATTATTCTGTTCTAATTCTGAGGGATGGTTCAAAAATGGTTTTATAACAGAATAACAGAGTTAGAAGGGACCTTGGAAGTCTTATCCAACCTCCTGCTCAAGCAGGAGACTCCCTTCCATTCTGGACAAAGGGTTGTCCAATTTCTTGAAAAGCTCCAATGATGGAGCACCCACAACTTCTGGAGGCCAAGCTTGCGTTGATGAATCGTTCTCACAGTTAGGAATTTTCTCTGTTGTTCTAGGTTGGTTTAAAAAGTGGGATTCAGCCGGTTCGCACCACTTCGGGAGAACCGGTTGTTCACTTTCTGAGCAGTTTGGTGAACTGGTTGTTGGAAGAAATCATTAGGACAGAGAACCGGTTGTTAAATTATTTGCATCCCACCACTGCTTATGACCGTTTTTCACACTTACGTCCGTTGCAGCATCCCCACAGTCACATGATCAGAATCCAGACCCTTAGCAACTGACTCATACTTATGACCGTTTCCCTTTCGCGACCTTCCGACAAGCGAAATCAGTGGGCAAGCCAGATTCACCTGTCAACCCTGTGACTGACTAATCGCCTGCAGTGATTCACTTAACAACGGTGGCCGGGAAATGGGGCGAAACTCTCCCTTCGCAAATGTCTCACTTAACAACAGAAATGTGGGTGCCGAATTGTGGCCCCAATTCGAGGACTGCCTGCATTGCCTTCAATAAAATAAAAATAAAAGAAGGTGGAATGAAGGTGAAGCTTCCAGCAATGTCTTGCTTGCCTTCTGCCAACTCATCGGGGGTGTCATTTTCAAATTCGATGTTGTGCCACCAAAGCATTATTGATCTAATTTTCTCTGCAAAATGCTTATTAATGTTATCTTGTTACCCCTTGATGCATATGGCCTTGTGCGGCGGGGAACAGCTATAATTGTCTCTTGGCAAAGAATTATTCAGGGTTTTTGTTTCCCCTCCCTATCTTGAAGAGAATGAACAGCATATGCAGTTACACTAATGATTTCGTTTCTGAAGGCTTCTTGCACCGTGTGTGTGGGGGTGTTGGCAACGCATTACACCTAGATTAACAATCATTCATTTTAAATATCCTACTTAGAAAAGCCTGTTTTGATTACTAGATGCAAATATTTCTCTCTTGCTCCGTTTCCTTTTATTCTTCTGAGGCAGTTTAAAAAAGAAACATGTGCTTCCCTCATCGTTTTGCTGAAAATAATTTGGATAATTTGGATATTCCTTCCCTTCCCTTTCCCTTCCCCTTCCTTCCTTCTCCTTCCTTCTTCCTTCCTATCTTCCTTACTTCTTTCTTCCCTTCGCCTTCCTTCCTTCCTATCTTCCTTCTTCCCTTCCCCTTTTTTCTCCTTCATCCTTCATCCTTCCTTCCTAGCTTCCTTTCTTCCTTCTCAATGTCCCATTCCTTCTTTCCTTCCTTCTCCTTCATCCTTCCTTCCTATCATCCTTCTTCCCTTCCCTTCCCCTTCTTTCCTTCCTTCTTCCCTTACCCTTCCTTTCTTCCTATCTTCCTTCTTCCCTTCCCCTTCCTTCCTTCCTATCATCCTTCTTCCCTTCCCCTTCCTTCCTTCTCCTTCATCCTTCATCCTTCCTTCCTATCTTCCTTTTTTCCTTCTTCCCATCCCGTTCCTTCCTTCTCCTTCTTTCTTCCTTCCTTCCTTCCTTCTTCCCATCCCCTTCCTTCTTTCCTTCCTTCTCCTTCATCCTTCTTTCCTATCTTCCTATCTTCCTTCTTCCCTTCCCCTACCTTCCTTCTTATTTTCCTATCTTCCTTCTTCCCATCCCCTTCCTTCCTTCTCTTTCCTTCCTATCTTCCTTTCTTCCTTCTTCGCATTCCCTTCCTTCTTTCCTTCCTTCTCCTTCATCCTTCCTTCCTATCATCCTTCTTCCCTTCCCCTTCCTTCCTTCCTTCTCGTTCCTATCTTCCTTCTTCCCTTCCCTTCCCCTTCCTTCCTTCCTTTCTTCCTTCCTTCCTTCCTTCCTTCCTCCCTCCCTCCCTCCCTCCCTCCCTCCCTCTCTAACTAAATAAAAATAAGAAAGGCTAAAGAGTCAAAAAACAAAACAAAACCCTAAGGGCTTAAAATGTTGGACATTATAAACTAAATGTTCCAAATTCCAAAATTCGGGATTATTGTGTCATGCTGGACACAATAATTGTATATTGCATCAAAATATGACAGTAATCGGCTTTCTGGGTGTTGACAAACATGACTTTTAATCCATTGTTCTGTTACCTTCCTAAAAACACCACCAGAGGTATTTTTAACAAAAACATTGCAACGTCAGTAGCTTTGGAGTTTTTGTTGGCATTCACACTTCCACAACTATTACATAAGTGGGTGTGTCTGAAGAACAGCTCCAGAGCCTGTTTTTTCCCCCTTTATTAGAGTTTCTTTATTCTTAAAAACTGTTTCTTAGAGACCAGCTGTTGCCTGCCCGCTCCAGATTTTACATTTGAACGATAGAGGAAAACAGAGTTCACTTTTTATTAAATTCTTGTTATTGCTCCACACGACGTGTTGCGAAATACTTGCACAGGATTCCAAAGCAAACATTACACAAGGCATGAAAATGAAATCCCATGTTATCCTTATGAAATCCTCATGATTTCAAAGGCCAGCTGTCTCTCCTGGCCTGACAGGACTCTGATCTTCTCCCATCGGCTGGTCCAACCAAGGAAGAATTTCATTCACTTCACTTTGGGGGTGAAAGATGTAGAGCACGATTTAATGGAGTGGGAGAGAGAAAAGCTGAGTTGCAGGACAATGCAACTCAAGAAAAAAAGCGAAAGTGGCAAATTTCATCCATCTTCAGGAGTAGGCATCTTCATGCAGTTAAATCTCCTACAATTATATACAGAGAGAGAGAAGGGGGGAGAGAGAGGGAGGGAGGGAGGGAGAGAAAGGGGGAGGGAGAGGGAGGGAGGGAGAGAGGAGGAGGGAGGAAGGGAGGGAGACGTGGAGGGAGGGGGAAGGAGAGAGGGAGGGAGGGAGAGGGGGAGGGAGGGAGAGAAGGAGGGAGGGAGGGAAAGAAGGAGGGAGGGAGTGGGGGGACAGGGAGGGAAGGAGGGAGCGAGAGAGGGAGGGAGATGCGGAGAGAGAGGAAGGGGGGAAGGAGAGAGGGAGGGAGGGAGGGAGAAATGGAGGGAGGGAGAGGGGGAGGGAGGGAGGGAGGACAGTTCATAATAGCCAGGTAAAATCCATTTTCCAGTTTAAAAAAATAGTCCTTAAAAATACACAGAAACTCCATTGAGGGATTGGGGAAATCCCTACCTTGATTTAGGCTCTGTGGGTGACCTTCAAGACGATGGGTATTGTAGGTCTTTTGAAGATCCCTTTTGTGGAAATCACCAGTGGGATCTACAACAGGAAAAGAAATGGACAAGTTGTATTTAAATATAGGGAAATAAAATGCAAGGAAATTCAGGGCAAGGTCTGAATTTCTAACATCTATTAATTCTACCCAGTATAATTCTCTCATTGAGTTTAGCCGGCTGGGAGTGATGGGACTCAGAATCCATACATTTGGAAGAATCCACATTAGGGTTCATTTTTTTTCTAGGGTTACATCATTTGAAGCGAGTCGCTGTTTTAAAAAAATTCCAGTCTGCGGATTGTCCATTCCAAGTAACTGCAGCCTATTGGAAGATAGGATTTTGCTATCTCATTTTGCCCTGTAAATATATTTCCTAATATATATATACATATATATCAACATCTTCATGTGGGTTTTGATTCTTGCCATCCCGCATAATTGGACAATAAGTTTATCTTTAGGAAAAATAACACCCAGAGAGAGAATCTATCCTATCTTCTGTAGCTTTAGTTGAAGATAAGGTAAAAGATAAAGGTTCCCCTCGCACGTATGTGCTACTCGTTCCCGACTCTAGGGGGCAGTGCTCATCTCCATTTCAAAGCCAAAGAGCCAGCACTGTCCGAAGTCGTCTCCGTGGTCATGTGGCCAGCATGACTCAATGCCAAAGGCCCAAGGAACACTATTCCCTTCCCACCAAAGGTGGTTCCCTATTTTTCTACTTGCATTTTTTGCATGCTTTCAAACTGCTAGGTTGGCAGAAGCTGGGACAAGTAACAGGAGCTCACCCCGTTACGCGGCACTAGGGATTCAAACCACTGAATTCCCGATCTTTTATTATTTATTTATTTGTTTGTTTGTTTTAATTTGTATACCGCCCTTCTCCAACAGGACTCAGGGTGGTGAACAGCCAGAATAAAACAGAACATACAAAATTTTAAAAACAATTTAAAAATAATTAAATATTTTTGGCCGCAATTTAAAACAAACCCAATTAAAATCAATTTAAAATTAACCAAAAACTATGGGGTCATAGTTTTGATCGACAAGCTCAGTGTCTTACCCACTGAGCCACCACATTCCTAATGATTAGCATATTTCAGGCTAATTCTGCCCACTGCCAGGAGTTCGATCCTGACCAGCTCGAGGTTGACTCAGCCTTCCATCCTTCCGAGGTGGGTAAAATGAGGACCCAGATTGTCGGGGGCAAGAGGCTGACTCTGTAAACCGCTTAGAGAGGGCTTGTAAAAGCACTGTGAAGCGGTATATAAGTGCTATTACTATTGCTATGTGCATTTCTCCCTTGTGGAGTTGGATCCGTGATGGAAAAGAAAGACAGAGATGGGCGTATGAATCCACGCTTCTATTTTCTTCCAACTGGGAAGCGGGAGTCAAAGGGTTAAGCCACAGAACTACAAGCTGCATCTTCCAAATACTCGGTGTTGTGTTGGCTGCAGGTGAAGCGTTACCTGTCGAGCTTTTACTCTCCAGAATAGCTGTCTGCATGACACTTTCATTAGCTCTCCTGTCTCTGCTACTGTGAGAGGAAGGGAGGATTTGATGCCAACCTGTTGTTGTTTTTTTTCTCTAGATGAGCACAGCTCCTGATCCTCACCTGAGTTTCTTTGCAGGGCTGGAAGGTGAAATTCTGCATCAGGCTGGCTACGGCGGCCTTCATGGTAAGGGAAGCAAATCTCATCCCAATGCAATTCCGGGGACCAGCTCCAAAAGGCAAGTAAGTATAAGGATTGATCTTTTCTTTGACCTCTTTGCTGAATCTGTTGGGACAAGCCGACATTCAGTCAACTGTAATTGTCAACCGCTGTAGGAAAGGTGGAGTCAAGAGAGCAATCAGCCTGGAATCGTTACGTGCCCACAAACAGTCTAAGTCCAACTCAGGGGGGAAATGCTCCAGGTTTGGGCCAGATCGCCTGATCCAGTAGCGATGGCTGTGGGTGGTTCGGAGAACCGGTAACAAAAATCCCTGCGCCTCCCCCTCCATGCCCAGCTGAGCCGCGCGATCCTCAGAGGCGCTTTTTTTTTTTTTTACTTTTAAAAGCATTTTTTCTACAACCTCTTCAGCCAAAAAAATGCTTTTAAAAGTTAAAAAAAAAAGCTTCTGATGATCACGCGGCTCAGCTGGGATCGTCAGAGGCTTTTAAAAGCATTTTTTTCTGCAACCTCTTCGGCCATTGTTTTTTTTTTTTAAAATTTTTTATTGAAAATTATTAAAAAATACAGAAAAAAATATAATAATATGGATAGAATTGCAGAGAGTAATATAATACATATAGAGTTTTAAAGTATCAATTTTCGCCTGGAGAAAGTACAAACTTCCATTAAGCTAACTCATCAAAAGAAAGAAAAGTTTAACTAGAAAAAAGAATTCTCAATTGTCATGCAATACTCCTGTAAATATTTACCCACGTTCACATTAAGGTTAATATTTTCATTTTTCTTAAGATTTCTTTTTTTGCAGCCAAGCATACCATCTGTCCCAGCTCCTATATACCCCCGACTCTTGTCTATCTCGCAAAAGTCCAGTAAGTTTGTCTGCTTCTGCACAGTCCATGATCTTTGCAATTAACGTAGCTTCCGATGGGATATTTTTGGATTTCCATTCTTGCGCGAACGAGATCCTGGCTGCAATGATGATGTGGGCCATTGTTTAGGCTGCAGCTACTTCCTTCCATCCCCCAAAGTTATTCTCACAGCCCATTACAGGCTTCTAATTTCTCTACCTTAACCAGCAGGCCAACTTTGGCCATTGCCAAGATCACCTAACAAGCTCTCTGTCTGGAAGATTCAACCCAGGTTGATGTTTTTACCATCAAGTCATTGATTGTGAGAACTGGAAGTATATAAAAAAAAAAAAAACACCAACCACCAGAGAAATATCAAAGGGTACCTTTCAGGTCTAAATCGCTCAGGTTCAGGCCAGTATTCCGGATCGTAGTGCAAAATGACTGATGGAATCACAATGCCCATCCCTTTGGGAATGGTGATTCCATTTAATTCGATGGTTTTCTTGCACACTCTTTGAAGTCGCCCAGTGCCTGGATGCATTCGGAGGATTTCGCTAATGACCATTTCCATATACTCCATTTGCATGAGGGCCTCATAGGTGACTGGAGCCTGAGAGAGAGAGAGGGAGAGAAAGAGGGAGAGGGAGGGAGGGAGGGAGAGGGAGGAAGAGGGAGAGAGGGAGAGAGAAGGAGGGGGGAGAGAGAAAAGGAGACAGGGAGGGAGGCGGAGAGAGAGGGAGGGAAGGGGAGGGAGGGGGAGAGAGAGGGAGAGAAAGAGGGAGAGGGACAGAGGGAGGGAGAGGGAGGGGGAGGGAGAGAGGGAGGGAGAGGGAGGAAGAGGGAGAGAGGGAGAGAGAAGGAGGGAGGGAGAGAGAAAGGGAGACAGGGAGGGAGGCGGAGAGAGAGGGAGGGAGGGCGAGGGAGGGCGAGAGAGAGGGGGGAGAAGGAAAAAGAGGGAGGGAGAGAGAGAGAGAGAGAGAGAGAGAAAGAAATAAGCCTCTGCTTATTTTGTCCCTAACTAACTTAACTTAAAAGTTAATATCTGTATCTAGAGCAGAAGAACACAAACTCGTGTCCCAAAGGTGCTTTTTCAAGAGGCAACTGGACTTCCTTGTTTTTCTTTGAAGACATTTTGCTTCCCATCCAAGAAGCTTCTTCAGCTCTTACTAGATGATAGATGGATGGATGGATGGATCCAGTCAGAGCTGAAGAAGCTTCTTGGATGAGAAGCAAAACATCTTCAAAGAAAAACAAGGAAGTCCAAGTTGCCCCTTGAAAAAGCACCTTTGGGATAACCATGACCTGGATGATTGAGAACCTCCATAGACAGAAACTCATGGACTCAAGAAAGTTAACTCCTGTAGCTTTCTGGATATATTCATGTGGTTCTCTCAATTTTTGATAGTCCTTCTCTAGCATGTGTTTCGAATCTCCAGTCTGGCCTACAGTCCTTGAAGTTCTTCTGAAGTTCTATAGATAACAACCAGGTCCAATGCTTTGTTTGTTTGTTTGTTTGTTTGTTTGTTTGTTTGTTTGTTTCTTTGTTTCTTTGTTTGATGGTTTAAACTATATTAGTCACTCAACTCCAATGGACTCTGGATGGCCTACAAGACTGGACAATCCATAAAAACAAATAAAAACATCAAGTGAGCATCCCAGACTGAAACCATCTTGTAAACAACACAAATCAAACAACGCAGAGACCCTAAACAAACAATAATTCATCAACCGTGCCGGGCCTGGGACCCAAGCCAGGTTAGCTGGCTTGCTCTTTGAGACAATGGCGTATCAAACAACAGCTTGCTTTGTGCTGTGTTATCACATCCCTATCGCTGTAGGAGGTGACATAGCGTTACCATAGCAACATGCTCACTATGGATTGCATGTTCTAAAGGTGCAAAGTGTAAGAAGTGTTTTATCGTTCTTGTCATCGTTGTGGTTAGCAGGCTTTCCTTAATGCTTAGCATGTTCTTGAGGAGGCCATAAAGTAAGACTTTGATGTAGGAGTTATGCCATTTTTCCTGAAGAAAGCATCAACCCTTAATTCAGATAGTTTAGAGTTTGGTCATTGTTTAGCAGCTGATCTAAAGGAAACCTAACTATGCTCAAAGAGCTGCTTCAATCAATCAGAATAGAGCTGGAAGGGATCTTGGAGATCTTCTAGTCCAACCCTATAACATTTCAGACAAGTGGCTGTCCAGTCTTTTCTTAAAAACCCCCAGGGATGAAGCTCCCACAACTTCTGAAGGCAAGTCCTTCCTCTGGTTAATTGTTCTCAATGTTAGGATGTTTCTCCTTAATTCTAGGTTGCTTCTCTCCTTGATTAGTTTCCACCCATTGATTCTTGTCTTGCCTTCTCATGCTTTGGAAAATAAGTTGACGCCTTCTTCTTCTCTGTGGCAACCTCTCAGATATTGGAACATTGCTATCATGTCACTCCTAGTCCTTCTTTTCTCTAAACTAGACATACCCAATTCCTGCAACCGTTCTTCATATGTTTTTTTTTTCCCCCTTCAGGCCCGTAATCATCTTAGTTGCTCCTCTCTGCATTTTTTCCAAAGCCTCAACATCCTTTTTATAATGTGTTGACCAAAACTGGATGCAGTATTCCATAATACTACTCGTCTGGAATGTCAGGTATCCAGGATGCTGGGTACTTAATATTCCAGACCAGGGATCAGCAACCAGCAGCTCTGGAGCTGCATGTGGCTCTTTCATCCCTCTGCTGCAGCTCCCTGTCGCTCAAAATATGCGTCATACCTGCCAATGTGAGATACCTGCCGGCACGCGATTTATTGAGGATTTCGACCCATTGTTTTTTTTGTTTGTTTGTTTGTTTGTTTTTTGGAGTTCAAAATGTTTTTGTTACGTGCAGAAATAAAAATTTGTTTTCTCTGCAGCAGTTCATTGATTTCATAAATGCAACACACTATAGTTTTATATATATAGTTTTATATACATGAGATGTGGGTTTTATATACATGAGATGTGGGTGTGGCTTACTGATGATGGCTAACGAGCCAGAAATAGAATTTGCTGGCTGCCAGAAAGGAAAAAAGCCCAGAATCGAGTGGATGTGATTCTACTGAGCTAGGGCTGCAGAAAAATCTTGGTTACGTAGGAAAAACCTGGCTAAGAGGAAAAACACACATAAATCCTACGAAGAAGTAAGAAAATAGATATTGTACCTTTACAGGGAGGATACATGAGATGTGGGTGTGGCTTACTGATGATGGCTAACAAGCCAGAAATAGATCTATATAAGTCTCTCACCTGGCAGCAATATATATATATATATATATAACATAAAGTTTAAAAAAACCCTATATATGCAGTGTTATCTTCATTTTAGATGTCAAAAGGGTTTTTGTGACTCCCGGTGTTTTCTTTTCTGTGGGAAAATGGCTCTTTGAGTGTTTAAGGTTGCCAACCCTTGTTCCAGAGGATGGGAATCAAGGCGGAGTTTAATGGACATCGTTGAAAGCCTCATCGCACCCATGTTGAGTGTCACCTACCTTGTTAGGCAGAACCTGGTCAATCTCCTCCTGAAGTTTCTGCTGTATGTCAGGTTGGAGGGCCAGTTCATATGTCAAGTAACTGAGGGCACTGCTGACCGTCTCATAGCCAGCAATAATGAAGATAATCGCTTGAGCCAGAATTTCCGTATCAGTCAAACCTACATGAAGAAGGGAAGAGAGAAGAGTTGAAGGCCACTTTCGAGGATGCAAAGACACCCTAACTTAATGAACCTTGGAGAAGATGCACAAGAATAGGGCCAACTTTCTTTACTGATCCGTTGGTGAGGCGCTCTTCAGGATGGTTTCCTACGAAGTTTAGCTGAAGTTTATAGACGGGATTGAGAAATTGTAGGCCTCATCCAAGACACTCTGGATCAGAGGTGGGTTGCTCCCGGTTCTGTCCGGTTCTTGAGAACCGGTAGTAAAAGCGACGGGACACTCCTCCCACCCACCCTGATGTCATATTTGGTGATCTGCACATGTGCAGAAGCTTCTGCACATGCGCAGAAGTACGTGCGCGCTCCCGTTGCAAACCGGTAGTAAAAGTAAGTAGAACCCACCCTGCTCTGGATTCTTATGAAGGTTTCCCTCAAACCCACTAACTTTACTTTAAAATATTCCTAAACTATCTCAATGCTTTTTTTCCCCCTTCACTCACAAGTTTGTCTGTCTCACACACATTGCATTATTAATTCCCACGCTAGCAGACTTAGCAACGAACGCTGCTTCTGGTTTGAAGATGTGACCGTCGACGACGATTTCAAATTATTACCTTTATAGGTGTGATTCACACCATTCACCTCGTGGCTTGTCAGCGAGTTTTGAGATTCTATCATCAGTTGCAAGAAATCCACTCTTCTCTGAAATAATAAGAACATTTCAGAATACTTGCTCCTTGGCAACCTGGCCCAACAAAGAACGGTATTTACGCAAGAGCAACACAACTTCGGAATGCTGATTACAACGATGGCATTTTATTCAGAAGGAACCCCCTAATTATTCCCAGGTCACTGCTTGCAACGCTGCAGTTTAATTTGAAAGGGATTGAATACGGGAAAGGTATCGGATACGCTTAAACCTAAAATGGAAGGCTAGGCTTTTGAAATCTAACAAAAGAGAATAGACTTGTGATGGCAAACCTACGCGACAGGTGGCACGTGGAGCCATTTCTGCGGGCACACGAGCCGTCGCCCTAGGTCAGCTCCACCGCGCATACGCCTCTCGCCGCTCAGCTGATTTTTCGGGTCTCTGCCGCGCATGTGGAAAATGCACACGCATGCTACCGACGACCTCCCATCGACCCGTGCGCTCCCACAGAGAGGGTCTCCTCGGGGTGCCATCAGCCAGACAGTGTAGGCTGGTGACCCCCAGGGGGAGGGCCTTCTCTGTCGGGGCACCTACCCTCTGGAATCAGCTCCCCCCCCCCCAGAGATAAGGAGAATCCAGGACCTCAGTGCCTTCCGCCGTGCCCTTAAAACCCATTTTTTCAAGCAAGCCGGGCTGGCTTAAGATGAAATTTTTTAATTGTTTTTAAATGTTTTAAACGTTTTAATTGGTAATGAGTTTTAATTGGGCCAAATTTATATATCTTTTAATTGTTTTTTAATATTTGTCCTGCATGTTTTTTTAATTTTGGCTGTACACCGCCCTGAGTCCTCAGGGAGAAGGGCGGTATAGAAATTCAATAATAAAGAAATAAATAACAAAGAAATAAATAAATGCTCATGCCATTCCTCCCCGCCCAGGAGTCTCCATGCGGCCTGTTTTGGATGCCAGGTAAATACAGGGCTCGCTCAGAGGGTAAAAAACGGGCTTCCTGGGAGTACCAGAAGTCCAGAAACAGGCGTTTCTGGCCTCTGGAGGGCTTCTGGAGACCATTTTTGCCCTTCTGGAGGCTCCAGGAAATTTAATTAATTAGCTTCCACCCGTTGCTTCTTGTCCTGACCTCAGGCGCTTTGGAGAATAGCTTGGCTACCTCTTCTTTGGGGCAACCCCTGAGATATTGGAAGACTGCTCTCATGTCTCCCCTAGTCCTTCTTTTCATTCAACTAGACGTACCCAGTTCTTGCAACCGTTCTTCCTATGTTTTAGCCTCCAGTCCCCTAATCATTTTTGTTGCTCTTTGAGACAGTTCCTTAAATATTGGAAGACTGCCATCATGTCTCTTTGTTTACAAATAACTCTGAAGCTACTTAGCTTGGAAAAGATTACAGATTACAGATATGAATTCCTGACGCTTGGTGTTTTTTTTTTTCAGAATTAATTTAATAGCTGAGGCTTCTCCCATACCTTTTCACCCTCCTGGGCCCTTTTCTCTTTCAATTTTGTTATGGACCTCGCAAAGAACTCCAAGGATTCGTTGGAAAATACACTGATATTCATCTTCTCAAGAAGAGGCGTTAACCATGGGGCAACATCTGGAAAGAGAGGGGAAAGTGTTAGGAGAACACCTGCAGATGTCATGAGCAACTAGGCTGTGGGGTTGCTTTGAGGCAGAAGGAAATGGTTATCAACCCAAGGAACATTCATTTGAGGAGAAGCTTGAGTGGTGAGATTATTTATTTAAAAGGGGAAAGTAGTTGTGAGATTGAGTGCCCTCAACCACGCAAAATGATGTAGACAAAAGGCACACTCAAACCAGAAGAGGTATTCAACAGGTTCTGACCAGTTCTGGAGAACCGGTAGCGGAAATTTTGAGTAGTTCAGAGAACCGGCAAATACCACCTCTCACTGGCCCCACCCCCATCTATTCTCTATCTCCCAAGTCCCAGCTGATCGGGAGGAAATGGGGATTTTGCAGTATCCTTCCCCTGGAGTGGGGAGGAATGGAGAATTTACAGTATCGTTCCCCTGGAGTGGGATGGGTATGGAGATTTTACAGTATCCTTCCCCTGGAGTGGGGTGGGAATGGAGATTTTACAGTATCCTTCCCCTGGATTGGGGAGGAATGGAGATTTTACAGTATCGTTCCCCTGGAGTGGGATGGGTATGGAGATTTTACAGTATCCTTCCTCTGGATTGGGGAGGAATGGAGATTTTACAGTATCCTTCCCCTGGATTGGGGAGGAATGGAGATTTTACAGTATTATTCCCCTGGAGTGGGATGGGTATGGAGATTTTACAGTATCCTTCCCCTGGAATGGGGTGGGAATGGAGATTTTATGGTATCCTTCCCCTAAAGTGGGGAAGGAATGGAGATTTTACAGTAAGCTTCTCCTGCCACGCCCACCAAGCCACACCCACAGAACAGGTAGTAAAATATTTTGAATCCCACCACTGACCCAGATGTTCTACTTCTAACTTTATGGTAAGTTTATACTAACAGAATCTTGCAAATCTAAAGATACCCCTCTCATCACCCCTCCTTTGCCTTTACAATCTAAGAAACTAGGGTGGTCCCTTCTGACTTGTTGGCCACTTTCCCATTCCTTCAGTGGGCTCAGCTGCCTCTTATCTGTCCATTGTCTAGTCTTCACCTCTTCCTCCTCTCTCTCAAGGCCATTCCCGCAGACCATTACAAAGCGCTAAACCTTATCAGAGGTTACAAAGAATGGGTTTCAAAGCTGAAGGTAGCACCAACCTACATGACAAAATAAACAGCGGAGAAAGGAAGTCAGCCGTCGTCAATTTCTGTGCCTGTTGGACAAAGGGGTCTTTGGAATTGTTTATGGAATCCGTGTTGACACCAAAAGAGGTGCTTGTGATCACATCCATGCTGTAGGCACCGAAGATTCTGGACAAATGCAAGACACAAATGGTCAAAATAAGGAAAAAGAAGGAAGGAGGCCCTCAAATGTCCATCTGTACCAGAGGTGGGTTTCAGCAGGTTCTGACCGGTTCTGGAGAACCGGTAGCGGAAATTTTGAGTAGTTTGGAGAACCCGTAGCAAAAATTCTGACTGGCCCCACCCCCATCTATTCTCTGCCTCCCAAGTCCCAGCTGATTGGGAGGAAATGGGGATTTTACAGTAACCTTCCCTGGAGTGGGGCGGGAATGGAGATTTTACACTATCGTTCCCCTGCAACGTCCACCAGGCCCCGCCCACCAAGCTATGCCCCACCCACCAAGCCATGCCCACAGAACCAATAGTAAAAAACCCACCACTGATCCGTACATGTCAAATTTTCATGTCTGAAACATTTTCTTTAGCTGAGCTGGATCTGCTAGTAGACGTCTGCTAGATTTCAGCTTGCTCTTTGATCTAGATTTCCAACATTTGGATCTAGAACATGAACTTTGAGGCCTGGATTTTAAGCTTGATCAGCTTTTTGAGGCACTATGGGACCTACCTCAGCAGAGGTGACTTTCTATGTGATCGTCTTCTAAATGATCTACTGCCAGATTACACATTACAGATTAACAGAGTTGGAAGGGACTTTGTAGGTCATCATCACTGGTAGCTTTTTTTTACTACCGGTTCACCGGAACCTGTAGCTTTTTAATTACTGATTCACCCCGAACTGGTAGTTTTTATCACTACTGATTCACCACAAACCGGTAGTTTTAATCACTACTGATTCACCACGAACCGGTAGTTTTTATCACTACTGATTCATCCCAAACTGGTGTAAACTGGTAGCATTTCACTCCTGTGCCCAGCCCACCCAGTCAGGCTGTTACTCACTTTTTAACATCCACCAGTTCGTCTCGATCAGCTTTCTTCTGCAAAAGCGCTAGTAAATTGTTCGCATAGTTCTGAATGATGGGAAGCATCTGAGGGAGAAGAAGAGGATGGAGAGACACAAAATGCAAGTGAGGGAGAAAGAGAGCGTATCGTTTTTGTCCTACAGCAAAATCAGGGTTTGGGGCACAGCCATAAGACTGTGCTTCCCCTACCCCCCCCCCTTCTTATTCCTAACCTCTTTCAGCTTTCCACTGGTGAAAGTGGGCGAAAGCACTGTCCGAATCCTCTTCCATTGCTCATCTTCTGCTGACACGATGGATTTCGTTAACTGGCCCCGCGGAAGAAAATTCTAAGGGTCACGTTTGAGAAAGAGAGAAAAATGGATGCGCATCACGCATTTGGGATGAAAAAACAAACAAACCAGGAAGGTTTTAAACAGGGGTGCAGGGGTACACAGGGGTGCAGGGGCACAGGGGCACATGGGTGCACAGAATCTTAGCTAGAGGTTCACCCGAACCCCTGCGAACCCCCAGCAGGGGGTATACAGGGGTTCGGGTGAACCTCTAGCTAAGATCCTGTGCAGTTTGGCGAACCCTCAAATCCCACTCCTGGCTGGCCCCACCCACACCTCCCCTCCCAGGACTCCCCATGTGGCCCATTTTGGATGCAAATAAGTGCAGGGTTTGCACAGAGGCTCAGGGAAGGTGAAAAATGGACCTATCGGAAGTTCGGGAACACCGGAAACGGGCCCGTTTCTGGCCTCCAGAGGGCCTCCAGAACCTGGGGAGGCCTTTTCGCCCTCGTGGAGGGTCAAGGAAAGCCTCCGGAGCAGTGTTGGGTTTCAAATTTTTTTACTACCAGCTCTGTGGGCATGGCTTGGTGGGCGTGGCATGGCTTGGTGGGTGTGGCATGGCTTGGTGGGCGTGGCAGGGGAAGGATACTGTAAAATCTCCATTATTTCTCTTGGGTTATAATTACTGTACTCTGATTAGGCCTATAATCAAAGCCTTTTTCTCAACATTGTCAGAATATTTGCCGAATTGAAACTCACCCCACGATTCAGGAAGGTGGAATGACTTTCTTTTACCAGTACAATTTTAATCATCTCAGGGTCTGTTATAACCAGCATCGGCTGTCGTCCATCATAAGTCCTGGAATGAACGGTCAATGGGTTAGTTGAAGTCTGGCAAGAGTTACATATATTCATACACCCGTGTTTCCCCGAAAATAAGACCGGTCTTATATTATTTTTTGCTCCAAAGATGCATTAGGACTTATTTTCTGGTTAGGTCTTATTTTGGGGGAAATATGGTACTAATTGCATCCGTCTGGCTGATGATCTTAACTAGGGCTTATTTTTGGGGTAGGGCTTATATTACAAGAATCGGTTGTAGGGTTTATTTTCCAGTTGGGTCTTATTTTCAGGGAAACAGGGTAGATATATATATACATATTAGTGGTAGGTTGCTACTGGTTTTACCCAGATCGGCAAACCAGTAGTGGCGATGGCGGGAGGCTCTACCCACCTGCGTAGGACGCTTCTGCGCATATGCAGAAGCATTGCATGTGCACGCAAGCGCGCGCACACACATGAGCAAACCAATACTGACGGGTTTTGCAACCCACTACTGAGACACATCAGAAGTGAAATCCAGCAGGTTCTGACAGGTTCTGCAGAACCGGTAGCGGAAATTTTGAGTAGTTCGGAGAACCGGCAAATACCACCTCTGGCTGGCCCCAGAGTGGAGTGGGAATGGAGATTTTTGCAATATCCTTTCCCCAGGAGTAGGGAGGGAATGGGGATTTTGCAGTATCCTTCCCCTGGAGTGGGGTGGGAATGGAGATTTTACAGTATCCTTCTCCTGCCACGCCCACCAAGCCATGCCCACCAAGCCACGCCATGCCCACCAAGCCATGCCATGCCCACCAAGCCACGCCCACAAAACCGATAGTAAAAAAAAATGGATTTCACCACTGATACATACATATATACTGTGTATGTATATATATATATATATATATATATATATATGATTCATGTATGAATCCCCTCATTCACATATTCACAAACAAGGGGAACAAACACAGAAAGTGTGCCAATCGAATAAAAAGGAATCCATACTCACCCCCAAATTTTACCATATTTTTTAAAACAGGCTATATCAAAATTGGATCTTCCCTGTAAGAGGAAAAAATGAAGAATGGCGAAAACCAGCCTTTGCAACTTTGAGATCAACTCTCTTTTAAATCATTCCTTGCCCTAAAATTCACAGCACAGATTTGCAAACCTCTCTAATCACGGAAAAATAAGGAATCGCTTACAACTTACTCTAATGAGCGTTAGAAATTACGACGCGCTGAAAAAAGTAACATACGACTCTTGTTCACACTTACGACCGTCGCAGCATCCCCACATCGCTTCAAAACCGTGTGACTAACACAACCGCTGCAGTGACTCATTTAAGGACTGTGCCAAGAAAGGTCGTAAAAAATAGGGCAAAAACTCATTTAACAAACGTCTCGCTTTGCAACAGAAATTTTGGGGTGAATTGTGGTCATACGTCGAATATACTGCCTGTAAATTCAGTGAGGTTAGGTGGACGGGTGAGTTTTGCGAACAGGGCAGGGTTCGCAAAGCTGAAATAAGAACAATATTAAACTAAAAAGACTTTCCAACTTGTTTGCTGAGTAAGTTAGTTAATAGGTTTTCACACCACACCCCCAAGTGTTTAAAGCCGGTTTCTTGCCAAGCTCAAATATACAAGCAGCTGAGTTATAGATTCCTTTTTGCTTTACAAGATAAATTCTGATTAAAACTGGGTGACAGAGAAATCCCAAGATTCCCTGCCTTGTTTTTGATTCTAAAGTCCATGTCCCCATCAAAAAAAACAAAAAAAAACCCCAACAACCTGAGTACATTATCTCAGGATTAATTTTAAAAAGTTTCGTGCTTATTCTCCAGAGCATCTGAAGGCAGGACGAGAAATCGTGGGTGTTAAAGAGAAATCCAGAGTAGAACTAAGGAGAAGTTTCCAGACGGTGAGAACAGTTAACCAGTGGCATGACAGAATGGAATGGAATGGAATGGAATAGAACAGAACAGAACAGAAAATGAAATTAGAATAGAATAAAGAAAGAATAGAATAGAATAGAATAGAATAGAATAGAATAGAATAGAATAGAATAGAATAGAATGGAATGGAATGGAATGGAATGGAATGGAATGGAATGAAATGGAAGAGAAGAGAAGAGAAGAGAAGAGAAGAGAAGAAAAGAGAAGAGAAGAGAAGAGAAGAGAAGAGAAGAGAAAATGGAATGGAATAGAATAGAATAGAATAGAATAGAATAGAATAGAATAGAATAGAATAGAATAGAATAGAATAGAATAACAAGATTTGGAAGGGACCTTGGAGGTCTTCTAGTCCAACCCCCTGCTTAGGCAGGAAACCCTCCACCCCTTCAGACAAATGATTATCCAACCTCTTCTTAAAAACTTCCAGTGTTGGAGCATTCACAACTTCTGGAGGCAAGTTGTTCCACTGCTTAATTGTTCTAACTGGACGGCCATTTGTCCACAATGGTATAGAGTCTCTTCCTTGAGCAAGGGGTTGGACTAGAAGACCTCTAAGGTCCCTCCCAACCCTACGAGTCTACGTTGGATGTGCCTCCTACTGCACGAACATGTTTTCTTGAACTTATTATTAAAAACCCTAAGCCCCAAACCCCAATTTGCAAGTCCTCTCTTCCCTAATCGATCTTAGAGATTTGAACCCTCCCAGAAGATTAAGTCTGCCCTTGAACCTGTGCCAATAAAAATAATCTGCAAACTTACATTACGAAACCAGAAGGTGGTACCGATGAACGGGAGAGGCATGGGGCCGGGAATACCTAACTTCCTGAAGACTCCGTAAGGCCAGACGCCGTATCTGTAAAAAGGAGAACATAATTGTTCAGGGTTCAGGAGAGTTTGACTATGGACAGAGAAGTTAGAGGTGCAAGGAAAGTGTCTGTTTTATTTTTTAACAGTTTATTTATATATTTTCACATTACATACTTAAGTGCTTAGTGAAGAGCGTATTGTCTGGATCATTTTATTTATATATAATAATATTTTTCCCACGCCTGATTTCTACCTCTTAGACCCGTGATAATGAACCTATGGCACGCCATATCGGTGGGCACGCGAGCCATATCGGTGGGCAAGCGAACTCAGCTCTGCCAGCTGATTTTCGGACCTTCTGGGCCCACTAGAAGTAAGGAAACGGGCTGTTTCCTGCCTCCGAAGGGCCTGCGGGGTGGGTGGGGAAGGCCTGTTTTTTGCTCTCCCCAGGCTCCACAGCCTCTCTAGGAGCCTGGGGAGGGTGAAAACAGCCTTCCCCACCCATCCCCCTGGAGGCCCTCCGGAGGCCAGAAACGGCCCGTTTGCCAACTTATTGGAAGTCGGCAAACTGGCTGTTTCCAGCCCCCGGAGGGCCTCCAGGGGGTGGAGAAGGCCATTTTCGCCCTCCCCAGGTTCCTAGAGAGGCTCCTAGAGATGGCCCACTGTGCCATCACATGCCAAAAGCGGAGGGAGCATAGGGGGGTTCATGCGTGCATGCACGGGGGGCAGGGCACATATAATTATGGGTGTGGGCATACATGTGCGTGACTCCCCCTCCGTGCTCCCCCCACTTTTGGCATGCGATGGCAAAAGGGTTACTGTCAAAGGGATAGTCACTGTCTTAGACTATCCAACCATTTATATAACAAGTCCCATGTTCGAAAATCCTCTGCGTCTTCTTTTTCTTTTCTTTTTCGTGTCAATCTGTCTATTTCTGCACAGTCTTTTTTTTTTAATGACATCTTCTTCTGTAGGTGTTTCCTCATTTTTCCAATACTATGCAAATATAATTCTGGGGGTGCAAGGAAAGACCTTTGTCCCATTTGGCTTGAAGGCCCATTTAATTTGACGGCCTGCAAGCTTCGGCCTTCCATGGGGGCTCCGGTGACCATCTGCGTGTCTCAAAGACTATTATATATATTTCAGCATCACGACAGTGTAAAAATCCCAGGATCTGGAACTAACAAAGCAATGGGTGTACTGCTAAGCTGTCCTTGATTTACGATGACAACTGGAACCAGATGGTTGTTAAGTGAGTGACGCCTGATCTTGCAACCTTCTTCTTTTTTTTTTTTGCCACAGTGGTTAAGCAAAATCACCACAGTTGTTAAGTGAATCACAGGGTCGTTAAGCGAATCTGGCTCCCCCACCCCCACCGTTGACTTTGATGTTTGGAAGCCAGCTGGAAAGGTCACAAATAACAATCCCAGTTATTTTATTTTTTTTATTTTTTTTTAATTTGATTTATATGCCGCCCTTCTCCGGAGACTCAGGGCGGCTTACAATGCGCTAAGCAATAGCCTTCATCCTTTTTGTATATTTTATACAAAGTCAGCTTATTGCCCCCACAAACTGGGTCCTCATTTCACCTACCTTAGAAAGGATGGAAGGCTGAGTCAACCTTGAGCCTTGGAGAGATTCGAACCAGCAGAAATTGCAGGCAGCTGTGTTAATAACAGGGTGCACTAAACCACTGTACTATCAAGGCTCTTATTATGGAAAATAACTTCCATAAATACATTGCAAAAGCCAACATTGTCATAAGTGCAAGGACTGGTCATCAGTGACTTTTTTCAGGGCCGTTCTAACTTCAAACGGTCGCTAAGCGAAAAGGTTGTAAGCCAAGGACTATCTGTAGTTCCATCAGGAACCTTCACGGGTATTAATTACACTGAACAGTGGGGTCCTATTGCCAAATTTAACCCTCATTCGCAGGTTGCATCCCAGCCAGGAAGGGGAAACAATCTGTTTCAGTTCTGCAAATCTGCAAACAGATCAATGCACCGCTTGAAGCCCCCACCTCGGTTTGGCTGCTGATTTAAAAAATAAAAATAAAAAAATAAAAGTTACATTCCGTTTGAAAGAAATTTGCTTAGCTGTTTAAAAAATAAAAATGACAATTCCCTTCGTAAACAGAACACGAGGTTGGAACGCGAGATCTTCCAAAATCTTCGCCAGAGGCAGTCCAGCATGTTCATGTTAACTCAGGAATTAAGCGTTTAATCTGGAGATATATATATATATGTATATTTGTGTGTTTGTGTGTCTACGCTCGCAACATTTTCCTCCGTGCTTCCTGCCATAATGACTTTGTAAGGCTCTTTAATAAGCACCGGCCATTGATAAACGGGGCAGCTGCTGCTTCTGCAGAAATCTTCAGAGAGAGATAACCTCGAGGTAAAAGCAATCATTTCATAAAGAAAAGGGGGGCCCCGGACTAAAAAGAAGCCTTAAAAGCCTGAGCAAAAAAAATAAAAAATCAATTTTAAAAAAAAAGAAAGACAAGTTTCCTTTTAGACCTTCCACCGGCTCAAGGCAAAAAGGGAAAGTGGGGAGAAGAGAATTTTTTTTAAAAAAAAATGCAACTTAAGACATATTTCTTGCTGAGAAATCAGAGCTGAGCTAGCTTTTCTGGCAAGAAATCCTGTAGGTATCCATCCGGGGAAGTTCTGGTGTTTTCGGTCTGAGCTTCCTACCGGTTCCTCGTCTTTTCTACTTGATTTTTAAGTAGGTCACCCCTGCAAGGTAGATGGACTCAGCGGTGGTTAGTGGAGGATCTAAAGGATTAAGTTGCGGTCCCCAAACATCAAAGGCTTTTTGATATCTACGTGATGATCTTAGAGTTGAAGACCCTCAAGTAGAATCAATCAGTCTAGACTCAAGATCCTAACAGGGTAGACTCTGCTCAGCTTCCAAGCCCACCGTTGTAAATAAACGTGTTCTCTTTCCCAATTCAAATGTTTAAATTCCTTGAGGAACGTTGGGGGAAACCAAGAAGGATGTCAAAGCAATAGGCTTCTGTAGTCTACAATCTATAGTTTCACCAACGGTAGATCAGGTCAACTCGAATATGCGAAGATTGTGTTCTTCTCTATCCACAGCGAAAAGTAAATGGCAAAATAGACAAAATCGGGGTGTGGAATTTGATTCTAGCTCAACAATAAAACTGCGCAGACTAAACAATCCTACTTCAATCTTGGATATCTTCAATTAAAGGTAGGAAAGAGACCCAAAAAGGTTGACCACATCAGTTAAGGCGAACCAGTGGTTGAAGTTAGAAGAACTTTGTTCTTGTAACTCAGTAGACTATCACCTACAAGTTTTTATTTCTTCCTGTATGCTATGGGATATTGAGGAGGACCTCAACAGGTAGACCCAGCAACAAACAAGGCTGAAATTCATGCAGGGAGAAGAATATGGAACATCACGTTTTACTTACAACATCAGAAGACCAATGAATAAACTCAGAAGTGCCCAAGTCTCTATTGAGAAATATGGAAGGTGGTCCATCCTGAACTTCTGGGATCTTGGGTTTCTCTTTCTGCTTTTGGAAAGATTGATGGTTCGAGGGAAAAAGGTTGACAGAAAGTACTACTGGTTCAAATCGTTGAGAATCGCTGCTCCTATTTGCCTTTAAAGCCAAGAGTACGTAAAATAAATACGAAGGGACTATTTAGTTCATGAACTAGAGGTGGAGCAAAGTCAGAACAGGAGAAACTCAGTTGCTAATATTAAACTCCAGAGGTGAAAAGGTCTTGAAAATAATTGACCAAGTTAATTTGAAAAATCTTTTTTTAATGAAAAAAAAAAGAATAAGACAAACTGGGTTTAAAAATGACATACATCTGTAAAAACTAACCACGTTACCAAATCTCTTCCAAGCGCCAACGGGAGTTTATGACTGTCGGAGATTGCAACCAACCAACAAAGTAGAATTACATGAAATGACAGCTGAATATCAATAATGTTAACCATGTCTATAAAATACATCAAATAGTGATGTAACGAAGCCAGCACCGGGAGCTGAGAGGTATTACCTGCCTCTGCTACACAAAAACTTGACAATATTGAAGTTACTGAATATAACATAACTTTTCCAAATTCTGGATTCTCTTCTGGATTTTGTGGACAGCCGTGAAGAAGACCTTGGAGAAAGTAGGCAGGAATGTTCAATTACATGGACACCAACACGGTTTAAGCCCAAGAACAAAGCAAACGTAAGAAGTACATCCCCAATTTTGTTGTTCAAACTTATGAGTCTCTGTCAAATTTCGAGACAGAGCTGGCCTGCCTTCCTTTGAAGGTCTATCAATAAAAATGGAATTAGTGCCTCGATCCCTTTTTTTGTGTCTTATCATAGCAGGCATAGCTAAATGCCTGCTAAGTGGCCTAACCCTTTTTTAAAATGTTTTTAATTGTTTTGTCATTGCTTTTAATTATGGGGCCAAATATATATATATATCTTCTTAATTGTATTTTAATGTTTGTGGTTTATGTTTTTACTTTGGCTGTACACCGCCCTGAGTCCTCAGGGAGAAGGGCGGTATATAAATTTGATATAAAATAAAATAAATAAATAAATGTCTACGGAGATTCTCAGTCCTCCAGGTCATGGGTAGTACAGTGGTTTAGTGCACCCTGTAATTAACACAGCTGCCTGCAATTTCTGCAGGTTCGAATCTCCCCAGGCTCAAGGTTGACTCAGCCTTCCATCCTTTCTAAGGTAGGTTAAATGAGGACCCAGATTGTGGGGACAATAAGCTGACTTTGTATAAATATACAAAAGGATGAAGGCTATTGCTTAACGCATTGTAAGCCTCCCTGAGTCTCCGGAGAAGGGCGGCATATAAATCAAATAAAAATAAAAATAAAATAAATGGGTGTCCCAAAGGTGCTTTTTCAAGAGACAGCTGGACTTTCTGGTTTTTCTTCGAAGACGTTTCACTTCTCATACCCTGAGGACACAAATAAACCTCCGGATGGCCTCAATGACTCTCTAAAAGAATGCAAATGTCGAGCTGTCTGCAAGGAGTATAAATCCTTCCGTTCCCCACCATCCAGCCAGAGCTGAAGAAGCTTCTTGGAGGAGAAGCAAAATGTCTTCAGAGAAAAAACATTAAGTCCAGTTGCCTCTTGGAAAAGCCCCTTTGGGACAACTGTGGCCTGGAGGACCAAGAATCTCCATAGACATCTATATTGTATGGACATAGAAAATGACCTTGGGCTTATGTTTGCTATGATGGTATTCCTGCATACAATACTTTATCTACTTTAATATTTTATCTCATGCTATACATAAATTCTCCTTAGGTTAATAATTAGACATATTGAGTTCAGGTTTCTTCTTGTGTTGGAAAATATATCTGAGTCACCTGCCACACCATCTTTCTCCAGGGATGAAATTGTAATATTGGGGATTTTTTAAAGCTATATTTTGGTCTAGCGGTTAAGGCGCCTGGCTAGAAATGGGGACACTGTGAGTTCGAGTCCCGCCTTAGTCATGAAAGCCAGCTGGATGACCTTGGGCCAATCGCCAAGAGATGGTGAGTTCTAGTCCCGCCTTTAACCATTAAAGTTGATTGGGTGATCTTGGGCCAATCGCCAAGAGATGGTGAGTTCTAGTCCCGCTTTAACCATTAAAGTTGATTGGGTGACCTTGGGCCAATCGCCAAGAGATGGTGAGTTCTAGACCCTCCTAACCATTAAAGTTGATTGGGTGACCTTGGGCCAATCGCCAAGAGATAGTGAGTTCTAGTCCCGCCTTAACCATTAAAGTTGACTGGATGACCTTGGGCCAATTGCCAAGTGATGGTGAGTTCTAGTCCCTCCTTAGCAATGAAAACCAGCTGGGTGATCTTGAGCCAATCACCAAGAAATGGTGAGTTCTAGTCCCGCCTTAGCCATGAAAGCTGACTGGATGGGCTTGGCCAATCATCAAGAGGCAGTAAGTTCTAGTCCCATCTTAGCCATGAAAGCTGACTGGGCAACTTGGGCCAATCGCCAAAAGATTGTGAGTTCTAGTCCCCGCTTTAGCCATGAAAGCTGACTGGATGGGCTTGGGCCAATCACCAAGAGGCAGTAAGTTCTAGTCCCGCCTTAACCATTAAATGACTGGGCAACTTGGGCCAATCGCCAAAAGATTGTGAGTTCTAGTCCCGCTTTAGCCATGAAAGCTGACTGGCTGACTTTGGGCCAGTCCCTCTCTCTCAGTCCAGCCTACCTCACAGGGTTGTTGTTGTGGGGAAAATAGGACAGGGGGGGAAAGTGTGATGGATATATTCACCACTTTCTTAATAAAAATATTAAAAGCAGGAAACAAATAATACATTAATTAAAACTAGAAACCAATATTACTCAGGGAGGGGGAGAGAGAGAGAGAAACATTATGAAAGGTGAAATGCTGCAACCTGCATTGAAAGAACATTGTGTGCAGTTAACTCTAGCAAAACATGCTCATTTGCTCAGTTCCTGGCCCTTTACCCTTCTTGGATGAGAGTCGTGGATCTCTGCCATCTTCCAGGTGGAAAGTGGGAGGGACAGACTGGGATACTGTCAGCTGCGGTCAGGTGAGTTCATGCCAGAAGAAAGGTCAAAGAATGATGAGTTAAGAGCTCTGGGTCAGGAAAGTTTGTGCGATGCAAAGTAGAAATTCCTGAGTTATTAGGGAAATATCGATCCAGCTGGAGGGCATGGAAGATGGCATCAACTGATCCTTCTCACTCGTTCAACCAGCAAAGAATTTGAAGTTTTATTCCAACATCCCTGTTTAATTGAAAATGGCTGCATCCAGCCAGGCTAAAGTCGGAAATACCTCTGCTACTATAAAATCTTACCTTTTGAGCACAACAAATTGCTAAATGTCTTTCCTTTTGAGTCTAGTACAGTAAGCTAATATCCCTTGATATCACTCAGCAATAAACGTTCTGAATAAAACAAGAGTATCTGAGAATGGCCCATTTATCATAACAAAATAAGGGAGATTTAAGCTTCAGGGGGTTTTTTTTTTCCCCTCCCGTAGAAGCATTTTGCTCTTCTCTTGGTCCAATTCATTTCCATGAAACTTGCCCAGGAAAATGTCTCAAGACAGATATTAATTAGGAAACTCAGGAACTTACATTGTGGGATCCTTCTGAATTTTAAAGCTATGGTGGCGCAGTGGTTAGAGTGCAGTACTGCAGGCTATTTCTGCTGACTGTGCCTGCAATTTGGCAGTTCAAATCTCGCCAGGCTCAAAGTTGACTCAGCCTTCCATCCTTCCGAGGTGGGTAAAATGAGGAGCCAAATTGTTGGGGACAATATGCTGACTCTGTAAATTGCTTAGAGAGGGCTGTAAAAGCACTGTAAAGCGGTATACAGCGGGAGCCGAGGTGGCGCAGTGGTTAGAGTGCAGTACTGCAGCTGCTTCAGCTGACTGCTAGTTCAGCGGATCAAATCTCACCGGCTCGAGGTTGACTCAGCCTTCCATCCTTCCGAGGTGGGTAAAATGAGGACCCAGAATGTTAGGGGGCAAGATGCTATTTAGTATACTGTCTTTGGTGTAAGCCGCCCAGAGTCCTCGGAGAGTGGGCGGCATAGAAATATGAATAATAAAATAAAAAACAAAATAAATATAAGTGCTATTGCTAAACTCAATCATCCTCTTTTAACGACCCCAAAATCCCTTGCGGGATGAAGTCTGGGCAACTGAATAGAGATGAGTGTTTACTGGCCAGATGCCCTTCCTATCGCCAATGCGGAGTTTTTTTTTTCAGCAGATATATTCTCAGTGTACCCAGAGAGAGAGGAATGTAAATAAATAAATAAATAAATAAACTCCATGAATAACGGAATAAGAGAGTTGGAAGGGACCTTGGAGGTCTTCTAGTCCAACTCCCGGATAAAGCAGGAGACCCTAGACCATTTCAGAGAAACGGCTGTCCTATCTCTTCTTAAAAACTTCCGGTGATGGAGCACCCACAAATTCTGAAGGCAAACCGCTTTACTGATTAATGGTTCTGTCAGGAAATTTCTCCTTAGTTCTAGGTGGATTCTCTCCTTTGATTAGTCCCCTATGGATTTTTGAAAGCTCTCCTTCTCCTGTAGATTTTAGAGTTATGCTTATGAAAGTTATTGTGTATTCCATTTTTGGCTGTAAGGGTGTTTTGCTATGTTTCCTGCTTGTCATGGTGCTAACCACTCCAGACAGGTTTGGCCAAGAATTGGTGGACTCTATAGCGGTATGTAAGTAAATAAATACTTTTAAGGTGCAGCTATGTTTGCAAAGTTATAAGTAGGTAAAGGTAAAGGTTCCCCTCGCACGTATGTGCTAGTCGTTCCCGACTCTAGGGGGCGGTGCTCCTCTCCGTTTCAAAGCCGAAGAGCCAGCGCTGTCCGAAGACGTCTCCGTGGTCATGTGGTCGGCATGACTCAACGCCAAAGGCGCACGGATCGCTGTTCCCTTCCTACCAAAGGTGGTCCCTATTTTTCTACTTGCATTTTTCTTTTTACGTGTTTTCGAACTGCTAGGTTGGCAGAAGCTGAGACAAGTAACGGGAGCTCACCCTGTTACGCGGCACTAAGGATTCGAACTGCTGAACTGCCGACCTTTCGATCGACAAGCTCAGTGTCTTAGCCACTGAGCCACCACGCCCCTTATGTATGTATGTTATAAGTACATCTTAGTTA